CTTCAAGTGCAAAAAGTCACCCCCCAAAGTCTCCTTTTAACCCCCATAGCACTGGGTCTCCCCAGCTTTAGTCTTTGAAAACTGTTGCAGTGAAGTATTTGCTTCCAACCTACATTTCACTTTCTGCTCACGTCAGAGAGCGAATCTCTGCCTATCTTCCCCTTCCCCTGCAGATCTGATTGTAGATGCTATACTACTAAGGCTTCATTATTTTTACAAAAATCTACTCCAGTACAGTATGAAGTGTTATAAATAATTAAAGAAACACCAGAGTTGTCAAAATAAATGAACAAAGTACACTTTGAGATGCATGCTCTTGGCTTATTTGGGTTTGTTCAGTTGGCAGTTGAATCTGATAATTCAGTCCCTGGAAATATCCACCAGAAATGCAACCAGTGAGGTTCAGCCATGCCAGCTACCAACAAGGAGCATTTGTCTTTCCCCCAGAGTCTTCTAGGAACAGGGGTGGACATCAAATAATGTGTGCAAAACTCCAACTGCCAGTTCCCTGGCTTATCCAGGGAAAGTGAGGACCCAAAATGCATCCAGCCATGCATCCAGAAGTTAGCAAGACCTCTTGTATGGTCCGCTTTGTGTGATGCTAATGTTCCAAGTGAATGCCTCATTGCTCTGCACAATAAACCTTCTTCTCTCCATTCAACGCTCTTTTCCAGAAGGTCTTCTTTGTCTCCATGACGACAAATAAATTGCTTCTTGTTCACTGAAATCTGCTAAAAAGCTCGTTATTAAGCTAATGTGCCCAGGGTGGCAAGATGGGAGAGAAAGACAGTCGTGTTTCAGCCGAGGACACTTTCTCCTTCGTGGTCTCTGTCCCATGTGGACACCACTTCTCTGGGCTCCCTCAGTGTGACTGCTTGGGGCATGGCTTTCAGAGGCACTCTGAAAAATTGAAGACATTTCAGAGCAAGGAGGAAAAGCTCTTGGGTGTGAGCCAAAGACACTGATATATGCCTACTCACCCTTTCCATCTGCCTCTCTGTCTACTGCTGTACTCTTTCCATGCCAGGCTTCGTGCTGTCCCCCAGCATGCAGACACCCGGTGTCCCCAGCACTGGTGCCGGTGCCACCACAGTCCTGCTCACCCCCCCACCAGTGTCCCCACAGCCTCCCCATACGGCACCGTGGGGGGAAACGCCGACAAGGGGAGAGGATAGGAAGCCAAGTGTGTGTTGGGGAGCTGCCTGCCACCCCGGCTGCCACCACACATGGGGGTGAGGACCCGGGCAGGCTGTTCTGCCCCTCTTGGAGGTCTCTGGTCTTCTGGAGGAGGGCCCTGTGAGCAGCTGTGAAGCTCATGAAAATCCCCAGGAGCTGGTGTCTTCTCATGGGTTGCCCATACCATTTAGCATTTCAGGGTTAGCTTGTTTCTTTACCAACCACAGCGTTTTTTACCAGCTTTCTTGCTCTCCCCACAATCCAAAGTGCTAAAAGGTCCCGTGAGAGTAAATGTGAGAGCTTTCATGTGGTTACTGTCACTAGGGAAACCACTTCCTTGTGATTCACATGTTCTGTGAGCCTCTCCTCGTTTCTCTCTGCATTCAGAGAGGTAATCTTGTGCTGTGGCATGTCGGGGGGATGGGGCTGGGAACAGGCAGCAGGAAGATGTATTAGCATGTGATTGATTCTAGGGGGTTGAAAAAACCTCAGCACCATGCCAGGGTAAGGTAGAGGTAATCATTAGGAGAGGGTAAGTATTCAAACCTAGCAAAAAAAATAAATCAAATTGATTGTATGGGACTCAGAGTGACAGTCCAACAAAACGAATGAAAACAAACAAACAAAAAGCCTTTTTTCTCCTCTTTCCTTTTCTTTCCAACCTGATCACGACGGTTTGAGCTCACAATGAGAGGAAGCAGCAACATCCAAACAGGTGGGCCAGGAGCAGGCTGCACAGGCACAGCTCTGTGGCTTCCACAGCGCAGGGAGCACCTGGGGCTGGTACCCCAGAAAGTAACAGCGGCGTGTTGGAGGAGCAGCTGAAACTCATGAGTTGGAGAATGTGCCTGAGTGCCCATGGATCTGGAGATCAGAGCCCAAGAACAAGAAAGCCCCAGTTCTGCTGTGCATCACAGCCTCCAGGCAGTGACCACGGCAAAGATCTGCTGAAAGCACTGCTTTCTTCTAACACAAGCAAGTGTTTTATTTTTGCCTATCAAAAAAATAATATATATATCTGTGTGTGTGTGTGTGTACTATTTTTGATTTTAAGAGATTTCTTTTCATGGAGATTGATTTTGATCCAAAACTGGTTTCCCAGTTATACGAGACTTCACCAAGCATATCCTCTTTCACAGGAAAATTGTGATTTAGGGTAGGCAAAGTGATGAAACATCTGAAAGCAGAGGGGTTCGTGTCAACCCTCAGCTCGACCCCTCGCAGGCAGGAACCTGCCTGAAGGAAAGCCTCCAGGCCTTCTAAGGAGCTCCTGTGCAGACCCCCCAGGTGGGGATGTCCGTCCTGGAGTGGCATCATCCATGTGTCTGCTCCATCCCTCGCCTCCCCTCCCAGCACCCTGCTGACACCAGATTCATGCTGACAAGGGTAGGCTGGGTTAGCATTCAGGTACCTTTCATAGCCATGGAAGTTGGGTGCTTAAATCAAATGAAGATGAATATATCTGCTGACATATAATTGTTTTCTTTAGTAATTGCACTCAGGCCTCTTTACGTCTGATCATTAATGCTGGGCGAGGATTGTTTGTGAAATGTCTTATTGTTTCTGATGAACCCTATGAAAAGTGACATTCCTGATTATTTTGCCATGCAGCGGATTACACCGGTTTTTACCGCTAAGCAGTATTGATGGACCTTGCGCTGTCTTTTACCGTTTAGCTGCTACCAATAAATCAGAACTGGGTTTGTCCTCCATGTGCTGAATCCCTTATCGTGCCCAAGATGAGAAACGGGAGCCTTTGGTGCAGCAGCTTCCCGGGGCGTTTTCCTGCAGCAGCTGGCATGAGGAGCGGGGCAGGGGCCAGACCTCGGCGCTGCCCCAGCATGGGGCTGAGGAGGGGGTCCTGAGCCCCCTCCTGGTGGGGGAGGACGGGTGTGGTGGCTGGGGACAGCGGGTGACCGTCCCACGGGGGACAGCGACACGCTGGCTTGTGCTCCTCATCCCCTCAGGGCCTCCAGGAGCAGGTAAGCAATCGGAGAGGGAGAGGGAGAAGAAACACGCACACACGCCTCTCCCTCCCTCCCAGCCTAATTGAGCTAATTAATTTAGCGAAGACACAGCGCACCGTAATTTGCTTAATTCAGTCGGAAGATCGGCAGCAGCAGAAAGCCCTGCTGGTAAGGGCTGTGGTCCTGCCGGGGGCTGAGCCCCCTTGGGCAGCTGCACAGCCCCTGGGGGTCCCACCGGGCGCATCAGTGCCCATCGAGCATCAGCACCGCACCGTGCCCGGTCCATGTGCAGATACAGATAAAAACATTTAATATTCCTCGTGGCAGAGGCTGCAATTTCTAACCTGAATGAAGTCACTTGAAACCGAGCCTCTGATTGTCAAGAGCAGTTAAACTCTCATCTGCTGGCGCTTGTTTATTCCCTGCGCTAGGGTCCCTTTCCTGTTGTGATTAGAAAGCTCCTGGCAGAAGGGGTTTTGCACAGATCCCCCTCTTCCAGAGGCTGCCTTCCTGCCTTTCTTCCCTTTCTCTCTCTCTTAATGAAAATGTTGCGTGCTCGTCAAAAAAAGTGTTTCTGGCTATGGATGAAGATGTAGAAACTGCCATAATAGGAGACCAAAGTGAGCAGGCAGCCGCACGCTGATTAGAGACCATTAAAATCCCTTCTGCGACCAGCACCGGTGTAGGAAAACAAGAGGGACTTCTATGCTGAAATGGATTGCAAAATAAAAATTACATCTAGCTGAGGTCATTTCTTGCATGATGTATCTTGGGAAAAGAGGGGTTTCTCTTCTTTCCCTGAGATATTCAGAAATTCAAAATAAAAGCTTTTAGTTTAGGGGAGCGTCGAGGCAGAACAGCACAGACAGAACCTGAGAGCGGTGTTAATTTTGCCTTGATTTTTTCTTTCTCTCTATCTGACAATCTTTAGGAAAAAAAATATCTTGACATTTTTGTTTCCTTATTTGCTTGTCTTCTCGATATGTCAGGAAGCAGACAAGATTATAACACAATCCCCGCTTTCAGCAAAAGACATACATTTGCCATCCAAACAGGTTGGTTTTTCCCTTTTAATGTAAGCTATCACGTTTGCCCAAGTTATTACTGTAGATGTAGCCAGCCACATCTATTTTAATCAGCTTGTTTATGAGTATCCTTACATTTCCAAATTGCACGGGAGCTCTCTTGCTAAACATCCCTTTCTTTTTCAGGTAAGATAATTTCTAGGACAAAATGTCAGAAAGCTCAACACATCCCTTCAATTACTGCTGTACAGATTTTCTCTGAGCTTCTGGACAATAAGTAGCTTTCAGGGAAGCATTAAGTAGATTTGCCCTCAAGGGTTTGCATTTCAGTAGAGTGACAGTTATTTTTGTAAATACACACACACACAAAAAGGAAGAAAAGAAAGGAAGGAAAGAAAAAAAAAAACACATACATAACGCCTTCCCCCATCCCCAGTAAAATAGACAGACATGGGCTAGACAACTGCTTATTATCTAAGAACCTTGAATCAGATAGGAAAACCAGAGTTTCTAATGTCTTCAAATGTCACAGCATTATGATTTATACCAGTACACAGTGTACCGTGCTTCATTATAGAGAAGAAAAAAAAAAAAATTGAATTACAGCTAATGTCTTCCCCCTTTTTTCGGAAGGCTTCGCTACTAGTCTGAGGATATAAAATACATCATTAGTTGTTTTTAAGCATGTCTCTAATGATGAACAAAATAATGGGGCATGAAACCCAGACTTAACAAAACAAAAATACAAAACACAGCATTTTACAGACTTTACGTAAACATAATGTGACAATGCACTTCCTTTCATTCTCTGCTATGACAGTTAATTCCAGACCAGGAAAACTGTCAAAAATGTTTAGTTCTGCTTGGGTTGAGTTAATTACAGGCCCTGGGGCTGTGTTGACTTTCTCCTGCTAATGGCACTGTGCTACAGGTAAAAATCCATTTGCAAGAATGTTTTCAGAGCTACAGATCTAATTTACTGAATATCAAATATTTATGCCATTGCAATTAAAGTGACAATGTTCCACCCCTCTTCACCATGCAAGCTTGGGCTTTTTAATAGAATTTATTATACAGTAAACATTTGGTAAAAAGTTTTGCTCGAGCTTATAATGTGAAAGCTTTGAATATTTTATTGATTTTATTTCTTTTGCACTCAATTCCTATCAACACTGGAACGTTATGAACTTCTGCAGCACGTAAAAAACCATTTTTTACTGTCAGAGCCCTGCAAGCATGCATGGCAAGGCTGGGGCTGAAGGATGGAGGCTTCGTCTTCGCTGTATTTTTTGCAGGGAGGAAGAGAAGGAACTGAGGAGGGACAAAGTGTCAGGACCAGTCTGCCAAGGCTGGGGAAGCACAAGGAAAGCCATTTTTACATTGACACAGGGGATGGGTAGGACCCTGGGGGACCTGCGCTGGTGGCGCTGGATACCCACAGCCACCCAGGGACCCGCTCCTAGAGCCCTGAGGTTTTAACGAGCACCTCGGGAGCCTGTGAGGCTAATGAGGCCTTTGGTGACAAACGGCAGAGTGGAGGGAGGGGAGAGGATTGCTTTCTCCTCAGCTGTTTTGTTTTGCTTTGTTTTATTTAACAGCAGAGATAAGGTTGCGAATTCTGTGCTTGGGGCACTTTGTGCGGCTCCTCTGAATTTACCAAGCCCTCCCCACTCTCACCAGGAGAGCATCTGCCCACTATTTGGCTATATAAATCTGGTAGGTAACTGTTATTTTTTTGTGTGTGTGACATGAATTCGTGTCAGCCCCTTTTGACCCTATTGATATCACCTGCCTTCATGTGGCAGGCAGCTCCAAAACCTCAGTGTTTGCTGTGGAAAGCTGTGTTTTCTCTTGTTTTAACACTAAGCTCCCACCTACTTTATCAAATTCTCCTTGCACCACTCTGCTCCGTCTTGCTCTCTGCACTGCTCCTTTAGCCGATTTACCTCATTTTTACATAATTCTCTTTCCAAAGCTGAACATCCATGTAGCATGGTGGTTTCCAACACACCAGGTCTGACCGAGCTGTGGTCACCCATGCAGGAGGGATGTCCCACAGGCACATGGTGAGTCCAGACCAAAATCAGCCCGGCATGGCTCCTCACAGGTTATAGGGCTGCCTGCTCTCGGACGCAGTTTCTATCACGTCCCAAAGTACAGTCTCTGCCTTTGGACTCAATGAGGCACTGACATGGCCGGTGTGTGGGTAGCTGACATTTCCTACTGTCACTGTCTGGCCTAAATTTGCAGCTTTACTCAGCCCACTTCTTGTTTCCTCACCGTAGTGCAGTCCTGCAGCACATTTTTATTGCTAGGGCTCAGGTTTTCCACCCACAGGGATTCCCTGGGGCTACTCTTTTCACCTTCCATTTTAATGCACATTTTTTACATGCCACCCTCCCACCTACCCTGGTTCCCTGCTGTGTCATTCTCATAATGCTGGTAACACAGCGTGACCACATTTTGTGGGTATCCTCCTTCCACCAGGGCTCCTCGATGCCCACTCAAGGGGTGCCAAGCAGTCTGGGCACCCATTTTAACTGCAGGCCTCGCATGCTGGTGCAGGAGCCCGTGGAGGTTTTGCTATGGCTCTGCTGCTTCGTGTGGAAGTTGCTGGTCAGCTGTACCGCAGGCAGCCTCATTTCCCATGTTCATTTATTGCAGTTGTGCTGCTCGTGTCCCTGGTGGTCCTTCCGCAGATGCATTGAGCTGCAAACACCAAACAGAACACGTTGGCTCCTCCACATTTAGTCCCCAGCCCAAATATGCCCCAGAACCATGCATCCATGCCCCATCACCCTGGCTCTGCGGTGACCAAGGTGCAGCCCACCCCTCCTGCCCTGACTCCTCCGTTCCCACCTCTGCCAAATCTCTCCTCTGGGCACCGTCACCTCACCTTCACACCAAGCCTCCTGCCTCCTGCCTGGCGCTGAGGCCTCACGTGGCATCACGGTGTCGCTGAGGATGCTGCTGAAGTGCTCCTGGGAGTCAAGCCCCTGCCCAGCACCCTGAGGACAGCCTTATTCTTGCCAACGTCCCTGCTGGGGAGGGCAAGGAGTGAATGAAACCAGGACGACGTGAGAGGAGTTGTGCTTGGTGCAAGCCAGGTGTGGTGGGACCTCGGGAAGGGGATGGGTGCAGGGCTGGCAGGAGCTGAGACAGAAGCCTTGCTGGGCAGTGAAAAATGTGGAAAATTGCTCCAGATTAAAGGGTCTGAAGGTGGTTTGGTGGTTGGCAGTTCGAAGTTGCTGTGGATGCTGCTTCAAACACAGGCTGCTCAGGTGTAATGCTCGGCAGGTACTTGCACATCCCATCACCTCACATCCCCACCAGAGGCAGAGGGCAGCACAGCCTCTGGGGAGAAGCAGGGAAAGGAAGGAAGGACATGAGGATCCCATCCTGGAAAACGTCCTCCTCATGGAGCCAAGCTCCAATGGATCCCATACAGCTCGTGTAGACTTGGTGTTACTCAGCAGCGTCACAACCTGCTCACAGCCACCCTACTGAGGAAAACATCAACTTGGGATAGTCTGTGCCTCACGTCCAGGCTTGGGGGTGACTCAGGTAAAACCTGGGGAGAAGAAAATCTCACCTAACCATTACTGGACCCCACGAAGCCTCTGTCAGCCTGCAGTCAGGTAGCCAGAGGTCAGGACATTTCTGTCTCCAGTAACACCATCGGGTAGAGCAGCCATACCTACCTTACCAGATAGTTGTTAAAGATACTTGCAAGAAAGCGTGCCCAGAGCATGAGACGGGGATGTCCTTTCTCAGCCTGACCATGGGTGCAGGGGGAGGAGAGGGCACACAGGGTCTGCAGGGAAGGGGGTGGCCGTCTGGGAGCTGGGGAGGACTCCAGGCCTGGAGCCTGCTGGAGCAATGAGTGGTGCCAGCAAATTTCCAAGATTTCTGGGCTTTAGCCCCAGTTTGGTTGTTCCCATAGTGGTTCTTCCTGCTGAAGCACTAAGGAGCCGACACCCAGAGGTGCTCTGGGGCCGGGACCCCATCCTTTCAGGCTGCCCCATCTCCAGGCTGCCCCACTGTATTCTGGAGGAAGGTTTCAGCCAGTAAGTGTGGAGGTGACACGGGCACGGGGGCATCCCCTGGAGCACAGCCCAGAGCCTCTTCAGGAGGCTGCCCCAGCTGTCTGTGCCTGGTCCTCGTGCTGCGAGGCCGCTTCCCAGAGAGTCCTCCTGAGCCACCGCAGGGAACAGCTCGTGTCCTGCCTTCATCGCAGCTGTGTTTCCATGAAAGTTTAATGTGTCTCTTCTCTCTGCCTGGAAGTGAGCTGGCTCCTGGTGTCCTGCATGGAAAAATCGCAAGGTGCATGGCCAGATCCAGCCCTGCCTTCTGCCTGGGATGGAGCTGGATGGCTGTGATGAAAAACCAGTGGTTAAATCCTGCCGGCCGGTGAGGAGGGATGTCGTGAGGAGGCACCGCACCGCTGCTTAAATAACCAGGGCCGAGGCCCGGGGGAGCTTCTCCGAGGTCTTGCCGTGCTTTAGGAAGCAGGCAGACTTAATGAAATCTTTCGTTTGTCGGTAAATGCCACTGTATGAAGTGTAATTAATGGATTTCCTAGAGCTGGATGTAGCCCAAACTGAAATATAAGCACCCGGGGAGCTGGCCGGGAGCAGCGTCCTCTGCACCGCTTCATTACAGGGTCACTGCCAGGGCGGTGGGAGCTTTGCTGAGCCTCCCGCTGGGGAGGCACCTTGCCAGCTCCGAGACTTCCCCCAGCGATGCTGTGGATGCCGTGGTTTCCGTGGCCGGAGGCAGGGAGCAGAGCATGCGGTGCAGGCATTTGGGGCTGTGCAGCGCTGCCGGGCTGCAGGCAGCGTGCAGGGGGGCCGGGATGTCCCGGTCCGGGCACGGGGACCCTGGCGTGCTCTGACACACGGAGACATTTGGGTGTTCTCCAAGCCTGACAGGTTTTCCATCTGGTCCCCCATGGGGTCTGGTCTCACCTGCAGGCAGTGGAAGGGCGTTGAGGATTTCCTCCCCTTCTGTCAGGCTTCTCAACAGTGCAGGTCTTCAACAGCAACTTTTTGCTGCCTGTTTTCTCTTTTTGCAGTGTCCCAGCACCTCACCTCGGCAGCCTCCATCTGTTTGGAAGGTGGCCTTGAGAAGAGCTCGCCCTTCTCTGCGGAAGGGTGTCCTCCCCGCACAGCCCCGCTTCTCCATTTGGGAACCGAGCGTCAGTAACTCCCCTCCCTGTGGAGATGGAGCCCCAGTAATTCTACTACAGGAATCCTAAATGATGGCCAGCAAATGGCCAGGAGTGGGCAAGAGACAAAGACAAACCCAGGCACAAGTCTCCGTAACCTGCTGCATCCCCAGATGAGGACGTGCCTCCTCTGCAGCACACTTCAAAAGCCCCGAAGCCCATTATGAGGAACAATCAGCAGCAGATTTTAATAGATGCATTTTGCACTCAGCTGTCACCATCTGCGTTTCCCCATTAGAAATGCAGGATGAATGAGCTCCACAGCCACAGCTGCGAGGCTCTGGGAGGGACGGCAGCTCACAGCCATCCTGGGGAGGATGCTCCCAGGCTTGGGGCATCGTCCTGTGTCCCCTGCCTACCTCGGCCAGGGTGTGGTGACAGCACCTGCAGCAGGCTGGGGGACAGCCTGGGCAGGGACACCTCAACTGGAGAGGGAGGTAGAGGGTGCAGTGGGTGCCCAGGCTGTGGAGAGGGCCATAGAGGAGCAGCCCCAAAACACCCCCAAAGCTTGGCCAGGGGAAGAAGGCGACGTGGGTTGGAGATGCCCAGCCACGAGCAGACAGAGCCAGGGGAGCTGGAGGAATCCGGCAGGAAGTGGGAGCCCACAAGCCAGTGGGATAATTACTTTTTTAATCAAGTCTTTTCAAAACATCTAATTTTATTACTTTATTCTTCCATTTCAATAGCAGAACGATTAAGATGGAATCTTAAAGGAATTCTTCACAACAGTAATAATGTCTCTTATCGCAAGAGGCAGTCTCTGTCTGCTCTGTCCTGCAAATTCACAGCATTTGAATATTAAATATATTCAATATATCAAAAAACTCCATTTCATTCCAAAAAAAAAAAAAAAGGAAAAGAAAGAAAGAAAGAAAGAAAGAAAGAAAGAGAGAAAGAAAGAGAGAAAGAAAGAGAGAGAGAAAGAGAGAGAAGAAAGAGAGAAGGAGAGAAAGAAAGAAAGAGAGAACGAGGGAACGAGAGAAAGAGAGAGAGAAAGAGAGAAAGAGAGAAAGAGAGAAAGAAAGATGTATAACATATGTTTTCCTCTGATGAAAAGAATAATAAAATAACACCCAACTCTTTTTCCCTCCAAAGTGGCTTCTCAGAGAGGGAGTAGGACAGCGGGGGCTGTGGGGTCACCGGGGTGGTCCCAAATACTGCGGGATGTGTTTTCATGCTCAGTCCTCTCCAGGCCCGTAAGTGGTGAAGGGAAAAGCCATTGTGCGAGTGGCCAGGGGAGGAGGGGGACACCGGTGGGGCAGGAGGAGTGTGCCTGCTGGGCAGTCCCGGGTTGTTTCTGGCAGCTCCAGGTTCCCCTTGCAAGCCCAGGCTGCTGGGCATGCAGACTGAATGGAAGGAGAAAAACAAAACAAAACAAAACAAAAAAAACTCACTTTGAAAAAGTGAACAAGGAAATAAGATAAAACATTGGAAATAAACACAGATGACCCTGAGCTACTGTCTCATTCCAAAAGCACGCCTGTAATTTCCTAGCTTGTTCTGCTTTGCTTTGCTTTGCCTTGCTTTTTAAAGGAAAGAGGTGAAAAGAAATTCCCCTCTGCCAAGCATCCCTTGGGTGACCTGCCTTCCTGCCCCACCTCTGCCTGGGTCCACCAGGGGAGCAGGACCCCCGGCTCCGTCACCCCCGGCGGGGAGCAGCCCAGGCTGGGGAAGGGGCTGCTGCCCCCAGCGCTGTGGGACAGGCCAGCTGCTGTCCCCAGCCCTGCAGGACAGGCCAGCTGCTGTCCCCAGCCCTGCAGAGAGGGTGCCAGGACCCGCTGGCACCAGCCTCTTCCCCTGGGAGCCCAGGGGAGACCTTGGCCGGCACCTCTGGTGCCTGGCTCTAGGGACACTGGGGGTGGTTTCAGGCCAAGCCACGGTGGAAAGCGAAGGGGAAATGGCAATTTAGTGATCGACTAAAGGTGATTTAGGCACTCGTCCCCTGGGATTTCATAGTCAGGGCCCACATCAGGCCACTGCCAGCCCACACCCAGGGCATGGCAAGTTTTGGGTCTGACAAATGCCCTTTGAGGCCCCTTGCAGAGCACAGGACTATCAGCTGCTTTAATAGCTGGGATTAAGGACCTGAGGCTAGAATCACAGAATATCCTGAGTTGGAAGGGACCCACGAGGATCATCGAGTCCAACTCCTGGCATGAGGAGGTTTACCCCAAAATTCAGACCGCATGACTAAGAGCACAGCCATGTGGCTGCTGGAGGGTGAAGATCCCACAGGTGCTGGCCTGCAGGAGCAGCCCTCAGGACCGCCAGGTTTATTGCTGTGGATGGGTTACCCACGAGGGCTCAGCAAGGCTTTGCTGTGCCTCAGTTTCCCCACCAGCAGGACGACATTTTCACTCCTCCTTTGGGCACAACTTCCCTGGGCTGCTGGTGGGGGGCCCTTTGCCACAGGCCTCCAAAACTCCTCCCCAAACACGGCATGGACTGTGGAGGTGTGATGACCCAGGAAGAAATATCCCCTTCCAGCAACAAGCTGACCACAATATCATGTAGTTTTTAAGGCTGAACACCGAATCTGGATTGGCTATTTAATGACACAGCTCTGTATTCTGCACCCTCTGCGTCGACGCTGCCTTAAGATGAGTGATTTTGAGTTGATGTCTATCTCTAATAGACTTTCCTCGGGCTCCCCTCGCACTAGCTGCTGGTTGGAGATTAAAACCCACTCGAGCCTGCCCGGCAGCAGTTCATCAATGCCAGTTGTTTCATTAGTTGATGCAAACCCGCTTAAAATAAATTCCAATTAAAGCAGGAACTGGAATTGTACATTTTTGGAGCAGGGGTGGCTCCTGCGCTGGTGCCGCTCTCCTCCCCGCGCTCTGCTGCCAGGCCTGTTATTGCTCAGCCCCCGCCGTGTCGCTGGAGATGTGGTGCAGATGATGCTAAATAAATTGTGCTTTCATTAGAGTCCTGGGCAATCCAGCAGCAGGTTGGGTCATTTGTTCCTCGAGCTTCCCTGTGCACGTGAGCGAGAGGGGGGAAAGGAAGAGAGAAGAGGCAGAGCCACTCGGATGTCCTCTCCTCCCTAGCGCTGCTGCCTGAAAAAGGGGTTTAAAGAAAAGTTTCTGTCCCAGGCGTCAGGAGCCCGGCGTGTCCCTGGGCTGGGGCAGGTCCCTGCAGCTGCTCTTAGAGCTGAGGCTGCTTTGCCTCCAGTGCCCTCGGGGAGCTGCTGCTGGTGGTGCTGGGCACATCTCATGGGTCACTTGTGGCCAGGAGCCGCACAGCAGCTTTTGCAGAAAGAAATCTTACACTTCCTTTTAAAAGTTCATTTAAAAAAGAACCACATAAAGAAAAACCCTCCAGGAGGAAAGCCTTCCCAAAGCCAGCCTGCGGTGCTGCCCCCAATAAAATGTCTCAGATTCGAATTTCTTCCCCTGGTTTCTCAGGCTGGGTCCTGTCCCTCTGCTGGGAAGGTGTCCCCATTCCACGGGACACCCCACAAGGCACAGAGCTGGGG